GGGGAGGTGGAGTGGATAAAAGGGAGAAGAAAAGAGATTTTAAAGTTTGAAGGGTTTTCTTTGTGCCTCCTCGTTTCATGTCACTTCGGGAATGAACTTCGGAGGGCTGGATTTCACAACTGCAAGCATGACTTGCAACCCCAATCAAGACGAGCCTTTCCAGAATAAATCCCTCCCCCCCTCCTCCCCACTTCAGTTTAGTGGAACTTGCTTCCAGGTAAGCGAGTGAAGAAGGTTTGCAACTTGGGGCTTCGTTTAAAGCACGATAAACGAAACCAACATTTTGGAAACTGAAAATAGTCTCCTCCGCCCCAGTTGGCTTGCGTTGTCTAGGAGGGAGGTTAATGACATTAGGTCCACAATTTATTGTTACATCCCATCCATACATTTATCTAACATGTTACATTATTGTAACTTTAAGCAAGTAGTAATGAAAATAACTTCCTAACTGATGGATCCCTTGGTACCGCTGACATTATTGCCGCCACTATCTTAAAATGGGTGGATTTGGCGCGCGAGAGCAGTGTTGGTTCTGCCTGGCATCCTGTGATGTAAAGAAACAAATTCGATTCGATTTGATCTGCATTTGTTGGAGGTCAGGCTGATGATTCACGACGAACTGGTTCCAACGAAATTCTCTAGATTATCTCAAGGAATAGGACAACAGGTCAGTTCAGTGTTTTTGGCTCGGTTCCCACAGTAACAGACAGACTCAAGGTTGTTGGTGTCAGTGTGTGCGTTTAAGTGCGCGTGTGTTGCTGCTTTCTCCATAAAGTCCATGCCAACTTGTCTATTCCACGTCCTTCTATGTTAGCCCATTGGTAGAGCTGCAAATCGCTGCTGGAATGCGTGTGCTCATTTCCCCCCTACCTTTTCTCTTCTCTTCTCTTCTCTTCCCTTCTCTTCCTTTCCTCTTTTCTTTTCTCTTTTTTTTTTCTTCTGAAATGGATATTCAAATATTTCGAAGTCCCTTATACTTGCGCTCCTACACCTTGGGGGGTGGAGTTGTAGTGAGATTTCCCCGTAAGTTTATTGTGCAAACTTCTTTTTAAGTGTTAAAAAGATGTTTATCGTTGTAGGTTGTTTAAAAATAGAGGAGCTGGGTTGACGAGGTCAGCTAATGGGTAGGAAGACAGGTTCGTCAATCACACTAACTCTTTCTCGCGCGCACAGACACACACCGAGAGATACACGCACTTTGATGCTCCAGGTCTTATTTCAAGACCCTGCGGTGCGCGATTAAGCCCTCCCCCGCTCTGAAATTGCTTACAGTTGTCTCCCTTCCCCGGGTGGAATAACAAGGCGTCGAACGGGTTTGATCAAGTTGTTGAAACGGTGCTTCCGTTTGATTCAGAGGAGTAGCTTCAGGTTATGAAACGGGACAAATAAAAAGTAAACAGTCTAGTAAAAGTCAATTAAACCCGCACGTGTTGTGTCTGGGTCACTGGTAACTGACACTGAGCTGCCTGCGTCTCCCTCTCCCTCTTTCTCTTCCTGTACTAGCTGGGAATTGCTGGCTCCGGCAAGCCAGGAACGGTCGCTGCCAGGTCCTCTACAAAAACGGCCTCACCAAGGAAGAGTGCTGCAAAACAGGGAGGCTCACCACTGCCTGGACCGAGGAGGATGTCAGCGACCACGTGCTTTTAAAATGGATGATTTTTAGCGGAGGGGCCCCCAACTGCATCCCCTGCAAAGGTGGGTGCTGCTAACAACGGTCTGGTTCAGGGAAGCACTTGTAAGTTAAGAGAGGAAGAGAGGAAGCTGCTTCAGACGGATTCAAGCACCTTGGTTTGTTCAATCTAGTAATGCCTTTACACCGGTAACATTAGATACAGAAGTTCCCTAGCTCTACAATGAGGGGTATCAGTCTCTGTCCCTGAAGATGTCAAACTACTCTTGTTGAATTGCTGTCTCCTCCCACAAGGAAAGGATAAGCAAGATTATTTTCAATGCTAAGGACTGTACATTAAGCATACAAAAGCAAGTGGAACGGATGGAAATTGTGCTTGAGGATTTCTTCTCTTCATTGGAAAACCCAAAAGTGTAGTCAGATTTTTAAAAAAGCATTTATTAGAACGGTGGATTCTGTGTTATATCACATTTAATTATTAGGTTTCTGACTAATCTATCTGTCTACAATGAATGGCACTGGATTTTAGAATTTCCAAGAGCCTGTCTAGTAACACTAGTTGACTAGTTCAGGGGTCTCCAACCTTGGCAACTTTTAAGACTTGTAGACTTTAACTCCCAGAATTCTGGGAATTGAAGTCCACAAGTCTTAAAGTTGCCAAGGTTGGAGACCCCTGGACTAGCTGATCTAAAACAAAAACAAAACCCTAGGATGATCAGAAACAGGATCAGAAGGGATTACTACTTGGATGAGGGGCTACAGAGAATGCCAGAGCTGTAGACAAGACTGGAAGTAAAACAGAACAGAGGCTATCCAAGGAGGCAATGTATTGTTGTCAAGAAACCTATTCAAAATGTTTGGATTGTATTCTATCTGCCCAACTGACCTGGCATCCATTTAGATACCAGTAATCAAACTGGAAGTAGACCTTCCTCTCACCTAAACTCACAAATTCTGCATGCAAAGAATGTATTCAAATACTGAGCCCAAATTAGAACGTAATTTGAGTGGAATGTTTTCTCCTCCTTATCATAACTAAGGCTATTTCAAAGTACATATTGTCCCTCCATGGCTCAACTGATTGAATGGCTCAACTGACTTGACTTGCTCCCTCATTCTGGTCCTTGGTATACTCACCTAGAAAGGTATTTTGTCTTCACTCAAGTTATTCTCCAGGTATCCTATTTCTCAGGCAGGTTTATTTGTGACTTTCTTAATCACAGTGCCTGGGCTTTTTAAGTTTTGTAAAACAAGGTTTCTAACAGGATAGGCTTCCAGCTGCATCAGAGAGCGTGTTGTAAGGAGAGTGCCTCTGCCCTCCAGAGGATGACGTAAAGAAGAACCTTCTACCTGTGTCTAGCATTTAAAACAGATTTCAGACCTAGCTGAAATACAGAATGGTGTGTATATGAGAACATTATGATTGGTGTGTCCTTGGTGCCAAAGAAAGCTAAGACATGATACAATGGAAATGCAATTCCGAAGTCACTTAACTTGGTGTGGCACACGTATCTTGAACAGGATGCTTTGCTAAAAGTAAAAACTATGTATTGCAACCAAAGCTTTTCACCCTGCAACGTTGAGAAATCTCTGCTCCAGTAACCTTCAGCATGAAGGATGTTACAGAACAAACTCTGCTTATGTCAAGGGCACCATATGAGCAGAGATGTTATTGCACTGAATGATGGGGTAGATAGGGGAGGCGGCTGAAACAAAAACAAGACAGCTTTGGTATCCTATCTCCTGATTGGAATACAGCGTGTTTCCTTGATGGAAATTAGTCACCTTGACATATACAGTACTTACCAGCGCAATGAGAGATTAATCTATTCTATCTTTTCAAAGTCTGAATCACTTATTCTGCTAAGCCATAGGTTATTGAACAAACCAAAGTTGAGTTCCCACAATATGATAACCTCTAAACCAGTATTTCTCAGCCCTGACTTTTAAGATCTGTGGACTTTAACTCTCATATTTCCCCATGCTGTCTCAAAGTTGTCAAGAGTAAGAAACACTGGTCTAAACCATAATTTGCACTTTGTAACAGCTGGATTTGTACAACACTCTAAATCAAAGTCAAACAAACCACATTATGCTAATTCAAAGTGACCTGAGCCAAAGTGTATTTAAAGAGGTTTTAAAGTTTAACTGCTACTACAGTTTTTGTAGGTAAAATTGCATATCATTTCTTTGCAAGTTAACAGACTAATTTTCTAGGAAGTTCACTGTCATTATTTTGTGACTTCAGCATCATTGCAGACATTATTAGTGCAGTTTTCCTAGCCTCTTGCAAGCGTCCTGCTCAGAAAATGGAAGGCCTGTGTGTTTGATTTTTTTTTAATAGATAGCTTTCCTGGAAAAAATAGTATTTTGTGAGTCAACAATATGCGTTGCCTATTAAATTATGATGGGAGTTTTAGACAATGTTTTTGGGTTTTATGTCACCTGCCCAACTCTTTTCTCTCCATTCCATTTCCTCTTTAGAAACCTGTGAGAATGTGGACTGTGGACCTGGGAAGAAATGTAAAATGAACAAGAAGAACAAACCTCGTTGTGTCTGTGCTCCAGATTGCTCAAATATCACCTGGAAGGGGCCTGTGTGTGGCTTGGATGGGAAAACCTACAAGAATGAGTGTGCCCTTCTGAAAGCCAAATGTAAAGAACAACCAGATCTTGAAATCCAGTATCAGGGCAAATGCAAAAGTATGTTTACAGTAACTCTCTTTTCTCAATCCTAGAGTCAGGGATAGAAAGCATGTATAGAAAAGCTCATACCACTTATTCTGCAGAAAGATGGTAGCAAACAGGTTGTGAATTATGTTCACTTTCACAAAATAATAACACAAAGGGCTGTTTTAAACACAGAGGATGGAATGGGCAATTTTACCAGTCTGGTCAAACTTGGTGCCCTTAGAAGTGTGCTTTTCAATTCCCAGAATCTTCAGTAATTCCACACTGGCTGAGGTATTCCTGGGAGCTGAAATCTGCACATCCAGAGAATGCCCTGATTAGAAAAGGCTTTACTGAGTAACCAAAAGCCATTCCTAGTATAGAACGTATTTATAGTTCTGCAGCAGAACAAAACAGAAAATCCTGAGATGGCTAAATTGTATCATAAATGTTCTGCAAGTTTTTTGTTTTGTTTTTTAAATGAGGGAAAATGTTAGATAGTTGCTCCTTGGTAAATTAGCTGCCTTTTTACTTGCAAGTAAATTGTGTCAGATCCAGGGGCTGTCTAAGCCAGCATTCAGTTTCCACAAATGTCTCATAGAGGCACAGTAGCAAACATACAAAAGCAATAATAGCATCCTGGCCACATTTCCAAGTAACTGCCTACAACATTTGCTATAATTCATAGCCGTGAAGATGGTATTTTCTGATAACCTTGGCTGCCCTGTATCTAATACCTCCTTGAAGTCATCCAAGTTGCACTGCATCTTCTGGCAGTGGATTCCATCCTTAGACTATGCAGGAGGGTGGGGGAACCCCACATGCCAAGAATACAAATCTGCAGTTCTTATACCGGTTCTCAAAAAGTACACAACCTATTTCCCCTCCTATTAAAATTGGAAATTAATCTGTGGACTGGGCGATACAAACGGTGGTCTACAAGTCCTTCCCATCTATTTGCAGTCTTGAAAATTTGCTCACGTGCCAGTTTTAGACTTGGAGGAGGCAGAAAAAGCCACTTATTAGCACGAGAACCTCTTCCTTGGAGGTCTTCCTGGTTGCTACCGGATGCTGTGGAATAGTTTGGAGCAGTTGAAACGACAGATTCCCATTCTTGTCAGCTAGGGAGTAGGTGACAAGGAAGTGGAAACAGCAAACTGGACAATGGCAAAGCCATTGTGACATTGACAGTGGGCTTCTTCAAGGTTATGCATTTTGACAGATGCCAAGTCCTAATGTTTTTTCTAGGATGATCATAAGAGTTATTAGATTGTAGATCACTGATCCCAAGTCCAGAACCTTACAATTAGTAGGTCATCCTTATTGTAGCCAGAGTATAAACTAACTGGAAATTCAAAAGATTGCTAGTTTAATCAAAGCTTTTCAGTTTTTGCTATTTGCGTCTATACTGATGGCACGGATGCTCTTATTGTTCACATAATGTTTTCCCTACCATTTATTTCAGAGACATGTAGGGATGTTTTATGCCCAGGCAGTTCCACATGCGTGGTTGATCAAAATAATAATGCCAACTGTGTGACATGCAATCGGATTTGCCCTGAGCCAACTCTACCTGAACAGTATCTCTGCGGAAATGATGGAATAACATATGCAAGTGCCTGCCATCTAAGAAAAGCTACTTGCCTGCTTGGAAGATCCATTGGTCTAGCCTATGAAGGAAAATGTGTCAGTAAGTACCATGGAACAAGGGATTACAGCTCTATTTTTAAAATGAGAGGAAATACACAAAGGGAAAAGCTTTTTCAACTGATCCGGAATTCTTATTTCATAGCACAAACCTAGTTCAGTCTTTTCCTGGCTGTTCTTCTCAATAGTTACCTTAGCAGAAATTCCAGGATCCTTGACTTAACACAGCCACTAGAATCTCTCAGGCACATGATGTGGCATGGCTAGATACAAATCTTTTTTGCATTACCAGAATAAAGCAGCAGTTGATTGGCCTCCAACAGAATTAAGGGGCAAATTATCTTTTAACTCCTACTTTAGTGATTCAAATCCATGTCTCTTCTTCCTTGAAGCTGAATTATTATTGGTTATTTATATAGCTGACTTCTTTGCCACAGGAACCCCTGGCTCTTACCTTGCTTCTGAGAATTGTTGCTTGGATTGTTCCACATCTGGAGGGTCTCACAAAAAGAGAGATGGAAGGTTATGAGAGAAATGGCTCTTGTTACATGGGAGCAGTTGAAGGTAGGGTTGGCCAAGTAGCAAATGGGAATCCTTTCACTACACACATAGATAGTCCTTGCTTAATGACCTTAACTAGGACCAGAATTTCCATCACTAAGCAAATCAGTCATTAGGCAAAGCATCACATAATTCTACCACTTAGTGACAATATTTCTAATAGTTCCAGTTGTTAGGCAAGGACCACACACACCCCAATGCTCTGCCATGGGGATTCCACTTCAGTTCCCCCCATCTGTCTATCTCTGCCCCTATCACTACCCTTTTGGCCACTCTGCACTCTGCCACCACCATCTACCCATGCTTTCTCCCAGCAGTCCCAGCTTCACCATCTTCTTCTGATGAAGCATACCCAGCCAAGGCAGCTGCTGGCCTTTTGAAGATCTCTGCAATGCCACAAAAGAGTTCCTTAGTCTCTGGAGAGGGTTTGCGAAGCATCAAGCTGACCTCGCAATGCCTTTGGGTGGCCAAAAGGCAGAGGTGAGGAGAAGATAACCCAGTGTGGGGAATTGCTATTGTTGATGAAGGTGGTCTGTTAAGGACCTAATTTTGATCACCTGAATTTGGGGTAATTGAACAGCCAAAACCTGGAGCATCATCCTACCATTTTTTCAGCACTTTCATAATTTTGAATGTTTGCTGAACAAATAAATGCCTGTTAAAAAAGAACTACCTATACAGAACCTGAACTGCATCTCAGTACTGGCAATGGGATAGCTTCCTCATTGCACCAGAAGGCAACTTAAGGCTATAGAGGAAGCTCCATGGTATAGCCAAATGATCTACATTATCTGACAATTTTATCAGAATGGTGAAGTTGCAATATTGTGACACAAGATCCACCTCTTACATGCATCCATGAGATGTCACAATATATGTATGAAACAGGCAGAGCTTATATTGTGGCATTACAATGCTTGTTTGCTCTCTGTGCTTCCTGTATAGGTAACCACGAGTACAACTTTCTCCTCTTACAACTTCTAGAGCTGATTAACACACTGCTTAAGAATAGTTTTAAAAAGTTAAAAAGTCAAGACAATTTATGTAAAGGTCTTGATGGAGAGTGAAGCTGGAAGAAGCCATGTTACTAGATAGGCGACAGTTTTAGTTCTACTCTGTGCTAGTAATGAGAACAATGCAGAATAACTGAAACTCTTAAGAGAAATTCCCTTCCCCCAAAATAATCTTATTAATTAATGCTGCTAAAAACACAAGAGACATTATTAAAATGATATACTTATATATAACTTCCTGGTATTGAAAATGCAGCAGTGGTAATAAAAGGTAGTTTATCCAAGAGTTATGCATGAGGACTAGGCATGAGTTGTCCCGCCAGATGGTGATGTGCTCAATTTCCAGTTTTCTCAGTATTGACTCTGTTGGTTTGGGCTGCTGAAAGTGATGATTCAGCCACATATGAAGGTCTATCCTGTGCCATAAATTCCATTGGTGTTATTATCTTACCAGATTAGAGAGGGTGATTTACTAAAAGGCCCTTAAAGTGAGTAACAGTCAGAAGCAAGTTTGAAATCAGAAGCTTTCTGATTCTAGCTCAATCTCTTATTTGCACCAGCTCAGGAAAAAACATACTGCTTATATAGGGGTTCTTTGGTTTGGTTTGGTTTGGTGTTGGTGCTCATGTTCTCCTCTGAACTATTACTTCCAGTTTAAAAATGACAAATTAAAACAGAAAGATAGTTTGGTCAGTAAGTTAACAGAGATCTGATTTCAACCCACTTCTATGTGTGGAAAACCACTTACATATTGTTGCCAAGAGAACTCCCTGTTGTTGTTTAAATTACCAAAAATTGCAATCTCTTTATGCCCCTATCTCAGATTATAGACAGTAAATTACAAATACATCATTATTATGTTTATTTACCAAATGTAGATTGATTCAGTAGCACGTCTCTTTAATTAACAGTCTCAAGTAGAATGCAGTCTTCTCAAAACAAAAGAGAAGATGGTAGGTGGTGCTTTAAGCAATATTAGGATAATATAGATAACTACAATTCTCAGAATACTTTAGCATTAATTATGCTGACTAGAATTGCTGGGAAACATTGTTTAGTAACTTTTAGAAGGCCACAAGATTCTTCGTCCTGAAGTGATAGCAAAATCCATACTTCCAACTTTAAGCAATATGAAATTTGAAGATTCATAATGTTTCCCTCAAATGTGTTTTCCCTAGTTTTGTACATCTCTCAGAATCCGCTGAAGTTGGGCAGCCAATAAATATAAATAATTAAAAATAACAAGAAGCTAATATTAAAGGCCTATACAAGGCTTTGACAGAAATACACAAAAAGTATTACTTAGCCAAAGAGAGCTGAACCCTTCTTTAAATCACAGAGATTGAGATAATATTCTGAAGTTACTGAGGGAAATGCCTCTCAAATTTAATGGAGTGTAAGGAGAAGAACTAAAGTACAATAAGGCTTGCAAGATTGATGTCAGCCCTACTAGATAAATTAGACCAGGAATATTTATATTTTACCGACAAAGAAATAAAGGAAGACTAGTATAGATCTATTTCAAGCTCTCGTTAGCTAGCAGAATCTTGCAAGTCTGATGATGTTTTTCCCCTCTTCCTTACTCTCTCTATATCTTAATAGATCCTGATCCACATATTTTCAGCCACTCTTTAACTCTCATCAGTCACAGTCACTGGTTTCAGTTGCATTTCTGTTGTTTGACTGAGCAATATAACTTCTAGTCCACTGAAATACAGCCAGAACAATATGCCAGGAATGATAAACCAGGAATGACAAACACTCTCTCTCCCTTCTTTTGTTCTCTTAAGGCTGCTGATGGAGCAGCAATAAACTCAAATGATTCAGAAGAAGTTGATTCGGTGAATACATAGGTTCTGGATGTTTACCCAAAAGATTGGAAATGAGTCACTCCCTGTCATGATCTCAATAATGTATCAGGACTGGGTTTGGAAATATTTAGCTATTTTCTGGAAATGAATGAAGTATCCTGATTTTTAAATAATCCAGTGCTAGTTAATTGGGGTGAGGGATTTTTTGCATAATTTTTATTGACACTGGTAGATAGAAATATTCCACCATAACCAGTTATACTCAATCAGATTATTCATTTCATATTTATAAATCTGCATATGTTCTTCCATATTTAATAATGTCCATTTTTAATTTATTATATTTACCAGTACCTAAAATGTTTAAAATTATTTGTATAGATATTTATTTTATTGCTGTTATTTATCCTGAATTTATCTAACTTGTCTTCATTGATGGAATTACACAGTCAAAGCGTACAAGCCAGATAAAACTATTATACCATCTCTGACTGGCTAACTAATTTAGGAATAAGGAAAGAAATAGATGAATTAAAACCATTCCTAATAAATAGTAGGAGGCAAACATGATAAGAAAAAGTAGATATTTTCAAAAATTGCTAGTTCTGACTTTAAATTATTAAAATAGAAGGGAAAAAAAGCTGGCACAGCTCTTGCATAAAACATTCCACTCCACATCTGCCACATCACAGCTACTTCCTTGCTATGGAAAAATGCTATTATATACAAATTTATATTTCAAAAACTCATAGGAATGTAATCCTCAGATCCAGAAGGATAGAATTTGGTCAAAAAACTTTCCACCAAATCCAGTTGACAATTATTGAAGACTAGTCTTTGGCCTTCATTCCACTGGAATGTGTGATAGTTGTGAATACCAAGTCTTTGAAGAAGTTTTCTGACCACATGGCTTAGGATTCAGTTCAACTAGATTCCAATGGAAACATTTTGCTAGGCAAGAAAGCTTAGGAAACACACATTGGATTGATCCAAAACCACTTTTCTCCCCTACAAATAACAAATCGTGCGTGTAATGGACATCTGCAAATACTAAAATCATGATCAAACATAATCTTCAAAACTGTATCAGCATATTGAAGTGGCTTATAAATTGATAAAATAGAAAATAAATAAAGTAATGTTTTCAGTAAAAGATCAAAAACATTGCAATTACATTTGGATTAAGACTTGATTCCTCTAAAACAAGTCTGTAGAATAGTTTACTTCTTCTTTGAATGCTCTGCCGAGCCAGGAAAGACATTTCACAATGTAAGCAGTACCATCAGAAGAGTAAATGCTGTGTAATTTAATATCATAACATTAATATAAGTATTCCCCAGGTGAGCAATCACCTATCACATTAAATATTAAAGTTCAGCGACAACTGTTGCATGAGTTCTAGAGATTATACCCACAGCTTTTAGGGACCCTTTGAAACCCAGAGGGTTCAGATTGAATATTTCTGTGCCGTCTAATTGTAATGTGAGCAAGCATTTGCACATGTGCACAATAACACAAAAATACACACACAACCTATTTCCTGTGCCCCAATGAAGATATTATTGTTCTCCTCACTATTAGAAGCAAGAAGGCAGTAAACCCCAACTGATTTGGGAAGAAACTAAGCAAATATAGCAAACAGGACTCTAGCTATAAGTATTGCTATCTATGTTCTAACATGCTTCTATGCTCCTTTGGTTTCAGGGGAACAGATTTAAATATATGCCTAACTTCCCCATTTAATTAACCTACTTTTAAAATGCTGCACATTGATGAATCATATCCAGTTTTCCAAAACAGTTGTGCTTTTACAACTCCTACTCTTAATTCTAGGTTAGTAGTGATAAACTTAATAGGATGATTTTATAGACTGGTTTTTCAAAAGGCTGATCTATCCATTTATTGCAACTTTTCAATCTTCTTTTGAATTCAAAATCAAACAAAGTATGATGTTTGTAATATTCTTGCATTTATGTGTGTGTTTGTTGTATCAAATGGTATTCTCAGAAACAGGAAAAAATAAAAAAATTAACTGAGAGCCTTGATATGTAAGGTTCAGCTTGTGAGATTTCAATGCAAGGAGATAAGCCCAGAAGTCATTCACCAGATTATTCATATCACAATCTTTCTTAACTTAATACTTCAGTGGGATATAAAAGCCTGATCTCTGTTATCTGACCATCATTATATGACAAATAGAGAAATTTCTCCAGATGTTATAAATGGCTTTTTATATAATGTCAGGTTATATCCACTTCTTTGGATCCAACCCTGGAAGGCCTTGGAAAGGCCGTTTCCAGAAATCCCAATCTCAATGACCTCCAGGATTTTGGAGAGTTCTTGCCTTGACACAACTGAAAGGCACCAGTTTGGAAAAGCAGATCTAGATTGTGTAGCCAGCACACTAGGACATCTGATCTTTGATAAGAAAAAGAGGTCATTTTTCCCAAAAAACAAAACATTTCTTCCTGCTGCCTTTCACTTAAAAATTCTGTGTGTTTTTTTAAATTGTGAGCACTAACATCCAAGACTGAGTGAGCTCTAGCACTATGCAATGTAGGAAATTTGTTGACTAGCAGCTTGGAAATCCAATATTAAATAAGGAATCATGTAGGCTAAATTCTAAATGTCTATTCAAACATAACTGTTACTGTGTTCAGTGACATTGGCTTAGGTGACAATAAATAAATAGGAAAATAAATAGATTGGCTCTCAATATCCTAAGCCCTTTCCTAGGTCAAAGAGCTACACTTAAGTCATGTCATGTATATGCCACTTTTTAAAGTATAACTATGTATGAGTGCTGTCCTATTATAGCTAAAAGTCAGCTCTTCACATAAAGTAGTTTTGAATTAATCAATCTACAAGCTTTCTGTAGCCTGATCTCTCTCTCTGTCTCTCTCTGTCTCTCTGTCTCTCTCTCTCTCTCTCTCTCTCACACACACACACACACACACACACACAAACCAACAAAAGCAAAGAAAGCGTCACCAGAGAGTAGATAAGCTATTTAAACTTTTAGGAACATTCCTGCCATTAAATTAATTATATCTGGTTTCTCTGAGTAGCTTTTTTTTTTTTACTGTATGTGCACATGTCAGAAAAAAGAAATACACAATGCTCTCAGAATTAGCTTGAACCACAAGATGGGCAGCAAATAAAATTGATAAATAGTTTGCTACCAGTTTATGATTATTGATAATAAAGTGCACCCCCTCCATCCATCCACCTGAAGAACTCTAATGTCAACAAGTCTGAGAAATATATATTGCATTATTACTGCCACAAGGGCAGAAAAATTAAGCAGATTTTTAAAGTTCTCTTCTGTCCTTTCCAACCATTTTAAAAAGAATTCTCTCCAACTGAAATTAAGAGAAAGGAATAATTAATTAATTTCAAGCCAACATAGGTTATATGTCTACTTGGGCTTATGTTTTAGGCTAAAAGGACTTTGCTGTAATGAATGTTCTTTCCTATCTGGCAAAGAAACACAGTTAACAGTCCTTTTGTTCCTATATAAAGCTGGATTTTCCGAGGTTTTACTTTTTAATGTCAAAAAGAATCAGCTTTTGAAGCTAATGGGCAGTACGAGATGATTCTCAACATTTTATTTCCCATCAGAGGTCTCTCCCCAACTTAAGGCTGGGAAATATGTTGAATTGCATGGTTTTGGGATAACCCTCCAAATGTTGTTGGATAATAGTTTTAGTCATACTCAAGTCCCACTAATTCTGCTGGTTGTACATCAAGCATGGCTGGAATTAAATCCAGATAATACTATTTATACCAGCAGGGAATAGGAAGAAGTGTTATATTTCATGCTATACCAAGTATGGAACTAGTCTTGGGTACTATGCATCTTGTCTTGAAGTTTGGGCGTCATTTCTGCAACATTTCAGGTGTTGTCCATAGAGTTTGCAGTCACAGTGATTTTGCTTTTCAGCTGAAGAATTTAACCACCTTCACAAGCTGCCTTTCCTAGTACCACCCTTGACCTTATCCTCTACCCCAACACTTGGTGATAATTCAAATTTTCCACCTTTGCCTTCACTCTATTGGGGGGGTGGATTCACTACCCATCCCAACATTTTTAGAGCATTGTTTTCCTTTTGCTCTTTTAACCCTTATCTCTTCCCATTTTTCCTTTAATGAAAACCCTTTATAGAAGCCAAATCTTGTGAAGACATTCAGTGCAGCACTGGGAAGAAATGCTTGTGGGATTCCAGAGTGGGCAGAGGACGGTGTGCCCTTTGTGATGAGCTATGTCCAGAAAGCAAATCAGACGAAGCTGTCTGTGCCAGTGATAACACCACTTATCCAAGTGAGTGTGCCATGAAGGAAGCAGCCTGTTCCCTGGGTGTGCTATTGGAAGTAAAACACCCAGGATCTTGCAACTGTAAGTGAGATTTTTAACCTTGCAGGAAATTTAATCTTCTGAAGGCAAACAAACAAAATCCTTAGAATAGGTGAGGATGGAAGCCTTTATTAAACAGGAAAGAAAACTATGCAGTAGTGAGATCTTATGTAGAAAGATTTATGTATTATGCAGAAATCTTGCGCTTGATGAGAAGAAAAATCAAATGTTTGAGGGTCCTTTCTCTTTTTAGGGAAGTGTCTAACAACAGAAAGTTGCCTTAAATGCATCTTCCTAGCTGTTTCTTGCCTTCCGTTAATATTGTTTGCTTGAGTGTGCTTTGCTGCCTGCTTTATTAACACTTGGCTATAATCTAATTGTTCCCTCACCTCAACCCTTCCCAAACTAGCTTAACCCTTAACCATGTGGGCTGCTGTCCGCTCACAATGGCCTCTGAATGAAGGACTCAACAGCAGTTTAAAAACCTAGAACACAAGAGCACTTTTTATCTAATTTCAGGAATCTGCCAAATAAACCTGAGCCATTGAGTCTCCAGAACTTGCTGCAGTTATGACTTCATAGATTATGTAACACACACTTTACACTTACATGCAGAAACAAACAAACAAACCAAAACCCACAATCAACTTTATTGAATAACCACAGGTGCCAAAGTGCACCTAACTGCAATCTACGCTTTAAAAAACATGCCACATCCTATTTTGGCTATGCAGGGGGCTTTGAAAACATGCACAGACAGCTTCTGCGCTTTGTCATCCATATTTAAACAAGAGCTCCCCTGTATTCTCCTATCTAGCCATCAATGAAGAGCCTGAGGAAGAGGATGAAGAGGATGACCAGGACTACAGCTTTCCTATATCTTCCATTCTAGAGTGGTAAAATTTCCATCACTTTTGAAACAGCCATTGGGCAAGAATTACAATGTCCATACTGTACATAAGTGTATGCTTATTTATTTGGGGAAGAAAGAAGTATACATATAGTTGAATCTTGTAGACATTTATTTATACTGTGTCATGTTTTATAATTTATACATTAAAGAAGTCTGATTGACTGTACACCTTTTTTTTGAAGAAGAAATGTAATCGTTATGGGATGAGCTGTGTTATTTATTGTGAGGTCTCTTGCTTGTAAAGTAAAGCTTTTTTTCTTGTAAACTATAAATCCATTCCTTAGAGCCTAACCCTCCTCCCCAATTACAATTTTCAGCTCCTTATTTCTGCCAATGTTAACTCTTTTCCATTTTAACAAAACTTTGCATGACAGTTTCAGTTACATTTTCTATTTATTGTGTTTCCTTCTTGCCAATTCTGTATATAAATACATGATCCCTAGGATATTTGTTTACAAGGAATCTTGACTGACCAAAAGGCGCTGTAAACTGAGTTAAGTATATATTTGAGGTGGAAAGAGGGAGAGCTTTAACAGAACCTCTTTCCCTGGCTATGTTCTCTGATTGTATCATGTAGTAATGGGATCTCAAAATCCTGAACATTTATATTGTACTATGAGAATTCAAACCCAAAGATCGGATTATGAAGGGTTTTTTTAGTTGCTATGTGGCTAAATGTAAAGAAAGCATTATTTTCTTTTTTTTTTAAGAAAAAGAAGAAACATGAAAATACATTGTCATGAACATCAATGTTTTATTAGGTCTGTCCTCACAGATAGTCCGTTCCATTTTTTAAACATTCTTTTTGTTTCACATTCAAAATGTTAACAGAATATTATATCAAAGCTTTATCAGTTCAAGTTTCTTGCTTTTCATAATACTTTCTTTTTCTGAGGCAATTTTATATTTTCAAACATGACAAGTTATATATAAATTCATTTAAATATATAGTTTTGTACTTTTCTACCATGTAAATGTGCAATGTATATAAAAGTTATAATGTGTATTTGTAAATAATTATGAGTGAAAAAAAATAAAAAATGGATATCCTTTCCCCCAAACCTGTGTATATTGATTTCAATTATTGGTTGAGTTAAGCTGGTGGCCAAGAATATTCAGATTCAAGATGATCTATGGTGACTAAATTGGAATTATTGTAGGATACCTAAGTAATACACAGAAGGAAACGAAGATTTTGTATGCTGAAAAATTGAGTTTGTAGTTAGTAGTTGTCTGGGAATGTGCTAAAAAAATGTAGGTTCAATCATTTTTAATCTATCCTCACTACTCAATCTTGATGAGAGGAAAATTCTGCCCCATGGCATTTGTAAATATTACATTTAATGTAAAGGTATTTTTTATACTCTAAAGGACTCTAGCCCAACTTATTATGTTTTCACTATCTCATATTGAAACTAATAAGAATGAATATAGTATACAGATTGGTTGTTGACTAAGGACTAGAGAAATCAAGGTTCTAAATCCAAATCACACAGGAATGTTGTGAAGATACAATCAAAGAGGACAGAATTATATATATTTCCCTGTTTCTTAGAGGAAGAAAAATACTGTATATAAATCAAATAAAACAATATTATTTGTGTTGCATTATACCTTTAAAATTTCACTGCAATTTTAAACTTCCTTCAGAGTCATAGAACTTATCTCTGTTTCATATAATCATGAGATTCTATAGAGTGGTATTTTTCCAAAATGATAATTAAGTTTCTCTCTGACAGACACTAGAATCTTGAAATTGTAATTATACATTTAAGCCTTTTTATTGAGCAATTGCTCTTACATATTTCTTACACATAACAATTTTATGAAAACCTAAAATAATAAATTAATTTCATTGTTCTTCATGGCCTACAGCTGAATGTATTCACTAATATTACTGAAAAGTATCTGCTTGAGATGGTATTATTTTTATATTTTATATTTAATCTATGATAGCTCACTCAAATGCACAAGCCATCATTATATCTTCATCATCACCATAATCATTTTAGCCATTGTCTATCCACCGCAGAATGAAGGCCTCTTCTGCTTGTTTCCAAAAATACAGACTTCAACTTTCTTTTGCCAATTGGGCCCGCAATACTTGCTGATGTCAGTACATTTTACAATAATTAAATACATCTAACTATATAAATTACTCCATTCAATTTTCACCTCATATCATATTATCCTAGTGTGGACTAATTATTTTAGATATAATTGTAAATATATTCCTCTAAAAAACATACTGTGGCCATGAATAAGAAACATAGGAAAGATCCTGCTGATTCATAGTAACATGTAATCCAGCATTCTATCTCCCAGCTACAACCAACTGAATATCTCTGGAAAGCAAATAAAGAAAAATAAAAGTTATTAATTTTTTTCCACTATTGTTCTCCAGGAGCTGATATTCATAGGCAAACGGTCTCTGAAATCTGAAGTCTGCATATACTGTAGTCAGTTCCATTTGGCTTTTTCAAAGCAATTTAGCTTATGATAATCATGACATTCATTACAGAATTCCTCAAATTTTGCAGGTTCTTTCTATCAGATTAATTCAGAGATGAGTTACTCATGGTTTGCCCATCATTTTGCAGTTCCAAGTGTTCCTTAAGACTTTCTGATACCATTTTTATTGGATTACCATTCTGCCACTACTCCTTTACTATCAGGGAGCTTGAAAGCAGATGATATTTTTGAGTACATTTTCTTTTTTTAGAAATAGTGAAGGGTGCTATTGGTGGTATTTTTTTGAAGATCAGTCCGCACCCATCATTGGCTACTGACACTTCTGAAATAGCCTTATGGGAAGAACTCCCTTGTGATGTCCTCCTGGGAGAATTTTAAAACTGGACGTTTTTAAAAAGAGATTGGACAATGATTTGTCTGAAAAGGTATAAGGTTTCCAGCTGGAGCAGGTGGTTGGACTAGAAGAATTTCAAGATCCCTTCCAACAATTCTGTTATTCCTTTGGTATTTAGCTGAAGACAGGATGGGTCCAAAGAAACTGAAGATATACACATGCATCTCTTAGTCACCTGATAACTAAAAACAATGCAAGAACTTCACACTGTAGGAAACTCTTTCAAGGTACATGAGGATGGGTAGGAAAAAAAATGCAGGGTAATGATCTAAGTTGAATGAATACTAGTGTGGATTCGATAAGCTATATACACTTCCTCTCGGTGAATGATTTCTCCCCCTTACTCACTCAGTCATTCTCTCTTTCTCTTTCTCTTAGCCTTGCCTAGATCACTGGATTGTGGTGTGATTAAAAGGAAAAGAATCCATTCTGCATTCTGCTCTGGCTTCCTCAGATGAAGAAGGAAAATAAATGGCTCCAGAGATCTTTTCCCGTACCAAGAGATGCTATGTTGCAGGCTTCTCCAAGCTTATGCCCATTAATATGATGAATTACAGCTCCCCAAATCCCAAATGTATTTGACTACATATGACCATGTTGAGTGGCCATTTGGGGAGTTGTAATCCAACACATCTGGAGAATATCAAGCAGGGAAAACTGATTCCTTTCCCAGAAAGGATGTGAGGAAAAGATGAGGCTGCAACATTTGTTAAGGTTCTTTGCAGACAAAATAATTTGTATTTACTCTGGTTAGATGCCACTTGGACCAAGTCTAACTCCAACCAGGGCACTATCTTATAATGTGTATCTGGATTTCATTTAACCTAGTGAAGAAATAGACAGGGTTCTCTTCAGGGTATGAACCCAGTCACTCATGCCTCATGTGGGTCCTCTAGACAGCAAGCATATATGTGGCTGGTCTCAGGAGATGATCAATGCTTCTTTGAGAAAAAGAAATGTGAACTGCCTTAAAAGAACGCAAAGTCATGTCTTCTCCTGTCACTGCCACAAGGGCACAGTCTCTCAGTCTAGCTCCTTTATATAACTTCTGCCTCGTCTCCAATCTTCAACGTTAGGGAAATATTTTGGAGGCTATTGAAGGACATCAGAGGATCTTAGATAAAGTGAATTATCTAGATCCTGTCCATTCAAGATGCAGGTCTGGGACCAAAGCTACACTGGTTGCTCTAGTGGGTTAATTTTGTTAAGACCTGAAAGGAAGGACTATATCACTTTTGGTCTTGTTCATTGCTATTGACCATAATATTTCTCTGGACTCCCTGTAAGGTTTGGGGAATGAAAGACTTTTTTTACAATGGGTCTGCTCCTTCCTGACTGCAGTTCCAGGCATTGTCATGGACGAGAGAAATTGATCCTGTGATGGTGTTGTAATATTTAACATGATACTTCTGAGAGAGGTCAAATACATCTCTATTATATCACCTTTCCAAGATCAATTTGAGATGTAATGGAGATAGTTTCGTGCAAGCTGTGATGTTCCAAATAAAATGATTTAACCAGGTCAAATCCCAAACAAGTTTATATTGTTCTTATGAAAACATTTGGCATTCCTGTTTGGTGTCAATGATGGTTCTAGATAGGGTTATGCTTCCTCTGAAATAGCAACTCTTGAATTGAATGTTTCACAGATCCACAGATTTCTCTAAGATTCCATAAGGAATGGCCTAATGCCTCACTTAAGAGATAAAGCTAAAGTGTTATCCAGTCCTTATCTGCTATGATTTGAAAACCTTCTTTCCTCCCTTAAAATGCCAAGTTGAATAATTTGATAGATTTTAGAGTTTGTTTTATAATTGCCTGTATATGGACTAAGCAATATGCAAGCATACATAGCAAATTTCATAAACATGCAGTCACATTCACACACCAGTATGTTTATATTCTAAAGCTCTGTAGAGTAGAAAAAACTAATACTTAACATTAATGGCAATTAATGTATTAATTTTTATTTCATTTATTCACTCTCCCATCAATAATCTGCCATCAATAGGGGAACATCTCAGTTTCTGCTGCTTAGCAGATGGAACACAAGGGATACAAGCTCTGCCCTTTTCAGGGTGCAAGCAATGTTGTCACACGAACATCAGAAGTGGGGCTGCATCATGACATTACATCTGCCTTCTTGCAGGTTTTGGTCCCACCTTCATGGACCTGCATTAGATAAAACACTATCTAATAATGCTTCTGCAATCTGCACTTCTCTCGGCCCCAAAGTATCTGACAGTCAGCTGAAGAAAAAATTGTTGAGGTTGTATATTGACCACTGATCTGAGACTGAATAGCATATACTGATTACTCTTGTAATCAAACAGGTGTGAATTTGAGGAGGGGGTGCTCTTTATCACTAATATGGATTAAGTTTATTATACAATTTTTCACATGGTGTGCCTCATATTTCTTTGAAAAAAGATTGAATACAGATGCAAAGTGAGCAGAGTCATTTCAATATACAAATGGGACATGGTTCTTTAATTTCCTTCAAGATTCAGAGCTTGTTTGCTTTTTAATTCCATTTTAGTACTTTACCCAGGTTCACATTTTTTTTGTCTTAATATAGTGGGAATTCTGCTACTTGTTTGCAGCAATCATCCCATGGAAATTTAGCAATCAGACAGGATCTGGGAAGAAGCAAAAACCTTTGCAAATAACTAATATTTGAAGGCAGCTATCTAATTCAATTACAATTTGAATTCACAGTTAACAGATTCATTCCTTCAAACCCAATGGACTGGCTAGTGAAATTGAGGACCCTTGAAAAATCTGATTAACACTTAACTCTCTGATCAATAAAACTTCAATTGGTATACACCTTTTCTGGGAAATGAGAAAGTAAAACAGGATCCATTAGTAATATCTTCCTCCACAATGGCATGTAATTATATTTCATAGAACTGCAACCAAAACCAAAGCATTTCATAATCATTATGGCAGCTAAATTATATAGCAATTGGTAGGTGAAGCTGTGGAGTTTGGAATGGTTGAGTCCCATTATGAAATCAAGTCTG